GCGAGTGCCCCCCCCCTGGGCGTGCGTTGGAATCAGATCTTACTGCAGCCGCGAGCAGGGTACCTGGCGAGCGATTGGTTTTGCTCCTGCGCCACTTCCTCCACCAGTCCTGTATGGCCGCGGACATGGCGCGGCGACCAAGAGTGAGAAGGGCAGGCAATAGCGAGGCGGTGTGATCGTCAGCCAGGTTAGGGGCCGGGGGCGGAGCGGGAGGCTCCTGTTCCCTCTCTCCTTCGCCGTCGTCGTTGTCACTGTGTCTGGCTGGGAACTGCCCAGGGGTCGCCGGACGGACCCAGTCGGCGGGTCGTAGGAGGCCGGTCAGGTCAATATCAGGCAGCCCGAATGTGCGCTCGAGGAAGGAGTACAGGGCCCTTAATTCCGCATGTGCCTCGCTTGGAAGCAAGCGTAGGTCACCAGCACGAATGGCGTTGTCCCCGCGGGTTCTGGGGGCGCCCTGTGGCTCCAGGTACAGGATGGCATGGTCAGAGACCGAGGGTTCCCAGGCCTTCCTGACTCCGTAGGCCCCAAGCTGTCGGAAAGGGCACGCAACGATGTCGATCTGCGATTCGTTGTCCGCGTCCACCCTGGTAGGCCCATCACAGTGGCAGACACTTGATCCTGTCAGCGAAAGTAGGTCAGAGAGGGCCGCAGCCTCATCGGTTTCGCCATCTCCGGGGTTGTCAATCTGGATGTTGACGTCACCCCCCCAGTACGTAGGGGTATCGTCCCATCTTTCGATGGCCTGTCGGATGGCCTCGATGGTCTCGGCTTTTCTGGATGGGGGGAGGTACACCGAGACCAGGCGGCAGGTGCTGTCACCTCGCCTGATGGTGGCGGCGACGGCGCACCCGGGGACGAGGTTTCCAGCCTGGAGGAGCGTTGCGCCGTGCGGAATGATCATTGCCACTCCGCCGGCGCAGCCCCCAGCTGGTCCACTGTAGGCTGGAGAGGCGATCAGCGTGCGAGCGTGGAACATGGTGGACCAGACGGCCGCTTCGTGCTCCGTCCAGTGGGTCTCCTGCATGAGTCCGATCCCACCGTTAGTGGTCATCTGCGTTAGGAACGCGTGCTTGATCATGTTTAAGTGCAGTCGTGCTCCTGAGATACCTGACGCTCCAGCAGCCCACTTTGAGCGTGCCGATCTGCGCAGCGTTGGAGATGGCGTCGACCAAGGCACGCAGGGAGAAACCCGCGCAGAGATCCGCCCAAGTGGGGTTATTCCAGGGAGTTGCATGTAACAAGGCCCAGAGGGATCGCGGCCGCCGGACGGTGCAGTTGCTGCGCAGCGCCAGGGCGCGGCTCAGGGAGGAGCAGGCAGATTGCCAGGCTCTGGTTCTCGCCCCCGGAACGAGATTCGCGAGCGGGGGAGACCCAAGGGCGCGATGAAGCGTCCCAGGGTCTTCAGGCGAGTCTAGGGGAGCGGCGACCCTTGATCATCAAGCTGCTGCTGCAGCCTGGTTCTGACTATGTCGTCTGGAAAAGGGTTTCCAGCAAGCGACGCCCAAGGGCAGTTTCTGTCGGCGAAGCTGCGCGCCTGTCTCCATGCGGCCCACATGTGGCTTTCGGTCGGAGCCTCGTGCTGCCGGCCGGGGATGTGCTCGTTCCTGCTCCACTCCAAGATGGAGGTCGCGAGTCTGCGCTGGAGGCACCTCGGATCGCAGTGGGCCCCCACGGCGTCATAGAGCCTCCTCCCTCTAATGTCCAGAGACCGAAAATACGACCCGAGACCCACTGCTCGAGCCCGCTCTTCGGGGGATGGAATCCTGGGTCCATGCTCTCTTCCGTGCGCAAGCAGCCATCCTGCCCAAGCCCTCACTTTTCCTTCGCTGGCTAGGCTCTCCCGCTCTCTTCCTTGACAGACGAGCGTCAATCCTTCTGTGCAGCCTTGGAAGCTACGCTCGGCTCCAGTTTCCGCAAGGATGTTCTTAATGCCGTTCCTGGTGTCGGAGAGGGCGCGGAGGAGCCACCTGTAGCTGCTGCCCTCGCTGTACAGAAGGCACAGTGGATGCGTCCGGTAGCTGCACGGCACTATTACCTCGGGGGCATTGGCGGGAGCCTTGGACTGGGTCCAGGTGGGGATGCGCCCGTCTGGTCTGTATGTCCACCGTTTTTCCCAGGGACTGGGGAGTCGGGGATACGTGACGAGGTCTTCCGCGGAAGGGCAGCTGCTGAACCATAGTCGATCTCTCGGGCCGGCCACTGTGGGGGCGGCATCTAGGCGAACCGCCCAGTCTAGCGGGAGTTCTCCCAGTGCCGTGCACATTGCCTGCTTGTGTGCCGGTAGGATCGTAGCTGGGCATTCGCAGCATATTAAGATGCGTACATCCGGGCGGAGCCTACGCGCGATGCTCCATAGGAGCGGCACGGCAAAGAAGTGCACTGACTGAGAGCCCGCAAGTCCGTCAAGTCCTCCGTGTTGGCTGGCTGCAGACAGGTTGGTACCTGGGAGCCCAGCTATGATAACGAGTAGACTTCCAGGGTCCAGGGTTCCGAGGTGGTCGGTCCAGGGACTTTGTCGGTCGTCGCCTCTCAGGAAGTCCCATACGTCAGCTCCTAGTCTCACGTGCGGGGGGCCTCCATCAAAGCGTGTAGCGCTGTCACGGTCCCAACGCCTCTCGACTCGGGATGCCGCTTCCTCGTTTATCTCGACGAAGGCGGAGGATCTGAAACGTGGAGTCGTGGCAACTTTGGCCATGAGGTCACCAATCGCAAGTCTCGCCAGACCCCATTCATCGAAGAGTGATACGAGATGTAGACTTGGTCCCAAAGCGACACACGGGCTCGGTCTAGGGTCGACCACTCGTGCTCTTGTTTGCTGGGTGAAGTCGTGCGTCCAGTCGTCCCCAAGCCTGGGATCGACGCTTGGGTGGAGCCTAAGGTGTCCCGTGATGTCCCATGTACCGTCGGGGGAACCGTTGGAGACAATGCCGTCCTGCTGGAGAGTCCTCAGAGTGCTGATAATATGCGTGTTGTCCAGACCTGCGATCTGGTACGCGGCGAGCGTCGTGTCGGCGGGTGCGACTGGAGAGAGGCCGGTTCGTCCGTCCCTGTGTCGCTCCCATACCTGCTGGAGCACGTCGGCAGGCTGGGGGGCAGCAGTGGGTTCGTCTGGTGTGAAACCGGCTGGACGGGGTCGCGGCCTGCGGGTCCGACCGCCCTCAGCACTTGCTGGTCTGGATGCCCGTCTTGTGACGCCTCGCCCGGCGACACAGGTGGGGGTGCCCTCTCCTGTTCCGTGGCGGGAGCGCTCCCAGAGGTCGACCAGGGTCCTTGGGTTGGGCGCTGTGTTGCCTGGTCTGGTGGACCTTTCCCTGCTTGTGTTGCCTGCCGCTCTGGTGCGAGCCGCACCTCGCAGTGCGGTCCTGCGTGTGCCTTCGGTCCTACCCCGGGGGGCCCGGCGGGACGGGCTCCTGCGTGTTCTATCAGCGGCGGTAGCGCGAGGCTGGGCGCTAGGCTCAGGCGGTCGTGGCCCGGTCGTGTTTCTGATTCGGGTGTGCCTGGCCACACCGTTGTCAGCTGTGTTCACAGTGGTCTCAGCCGGGGCACGTGCAGGTCTGGGCGTGCCGGCGCGTCGAGCGGCGTTTCCGGTCCCGCGGAGGTTCCTTGGCGAGGCCTCTACTGCCTCACTCAGAACCTGGTCCCTGTCGTCGGTAAATGGAGCGCCGGCTACCGCGCGCAAGATGCTGGTGGGGATACGCAAAGCGTCAAGAAGTGCTCTCAGACTCGTCGGGGCTAACCCCGCGACCATGGCCAGTGGCTGCGAGATGGTCGTTGATATTTAATATAAGGGGCCGCACCAAGAGTTGTCTGACACACGTTTCACCGAGCTGTGGCGTGATATTGTTCAGAGTTGCACTGGACATTGGCTAGGCGGCATTTCCTGGGTGAAAGTAGATATCACCTCAACCGCACGGCGGCACCGAATGCAGATGATCCGTGCTGGGCTTGGTTCGACCCGACCGCTTGGCGAAGCTTGGTGCGGAGGCTCGAGCAAGTTTACTGTACGAGGGCAGGCTACGAAAGAGTGGCCCAGACGAGTGGGGAGTCGGCGATCGTGGTCTCGGGGGTCCTCGGTAGGCTGGCCACCCTGCTTCCGCCAGATGTTGCCAAGATCGGAAAACCAGTGTGTGCGAAACCTGCAGCGCTCGAAGCGGTCCCACCCACACACTCCAGCCTGCACGGGCAGGTAAGAGCTGAGCCTCTGCCAAGTTTGTGTGTGTGGATACGAGGCCAATCCAGCAAAAAGTGAGCGTGCTCCCGCACGTTGGCATCCCCAGGACCGACAGCAAGTACCTCGCGCTCCTCCCACTCGCTCTGGCTTGGGGGGGGAAGGGCCGCGTTTTTGCACAGAGGGCGGGACCTTCGGGAGTGCCAGCACCCAGGACCGTCAGTACCTCACACTCCTCCCACTCGCTCTGGCTTGGGGGGGAGGGTCATGTTTTTGCACAGAGTGTGGGACAGTGCCTTGGAGAGCAGTGGCTTGGCCTGCCTCCCTTGACGCAGGGGACCAGCCCATCCGACAAGAGGGAGCTCTGGCTGAGCTCCACTGTGCGCAGGCTCCTGGCAGAGGCTGCGCCGCTAGAAGAAACAAAAACTGCATACAGTAGGGGCCCGACCACAAGAAACCTTCCACAAGAAACCAAACCCTGAGACCCCAGGGCCTCCATTGATTGTTGGTCTGGGGACGTCGCGCTGTCCACGGCAAGACCATCAAACCCAAGAGGCCCAGGGCACCCTGGAGACAAGCAGGGCACTTCTTGGCATGGGCCTCAACTGTAAACATCAACCTTTGAAGCTCCGCGCGGATCTCTTGGATCGGTGCTGGACCCCCCCCCCCCCCCGCGGCGCGTGGAGCGCGCGCCAGGGGCGGCCTCCGGAGGCGCCGCCGGAGGGGCCCAGCGCCGATCCGAGGAGTCCGCGCGCGGACCTCCGAAGGTTTATGCCTGTGTTGTTTGTGTCTTCTTCGACTGTCACGCGCGATCGCCCCTCGACGTCGTGAGCTAGCGCATGAGCTCTGCCCTGAGCCTCTGCCGCATCTCGTCCTCGGTCTCTCTCCGCGTGGGGGGCGTCCTCGCCTGCCGCATCTCGTCCAGCAGCTCTCTCCGGATCCTCTGCTCCATCTCTTCGGGCGTCTCCACATGAGGCTGCGTCTCCACAGCGATGGTCTTCATCACATGTTCTTCTCCTGCGGGCTCAACCGACGGCATGGGCTCGTCAACAACGTCGACCATCTGTTGGGCCGATTCTGCTGCTTGGGCCTCCTTGGCCTTCCGCTCATCCCTGATCTGCTCTACACGGCGCTGAGCCCAAACGAAATAGCTCATCGCTTCCTTCGACAGAGCTTCGTGCGATTCCCCTCCGTCGTACGCTTCCTCCATGACGACCTCGCACTCCCTCCGGAGTTCATCGAAGTTCTCTGGAGTCACTTCGTATAGTTTCTTGAGGCACGTCCTGACCAAGAGGACCTGGTACGTCTCAGGGATCGTCTCCTCTTTGGGGAGACTCGCCTCCTCCTCTTCCTCCGTGACGTTCAAGGCTGGCTCGGCCTCCGCGGGCTCCTCGGACACGTTCAAGGCTGGCTCGTACACAGGGTCGGAGTCAACTTGCGGCGGAGCCGTAGCCTCCGTGAGATTCAACTCTGAGCCCTGGGTGGAAGCAGAGGCTGACTGCTGTGTGGCGGCATCGGCCATCTCCGCGTCGACTCCCGTGGCATTGGCCACCTCCTCTGGGGCGTGACTGGCCGTCTCCGTGCTCTCCTCGACAACCATCGGCAAGGACATAGCCTCTTCAGGCCTAATAGTTGTTGACGTGCTGTACTTGGCCTTCTGGTACTCACCAGCCTGTCTGGCCACCCTCTAAGACGAAAGCAAGATGAGGATAAATTCGGATGCGGAGGACAGATCGGGAATCTCTGAGAGCCAGCGGGCCTAGAGGATGCATCAGGCGCCGCGGCCTGTCCAGCGCGCTCCAGAACCCTCTGAGAGGGTTCTGGAACGCCCTGGGGCGGCTAGGGAAGCGAACTTTCTGAACCGACGCCTTCTTCCAGCCCTGGATTGAAATTTCCACACGGAAGCGGATCCTGGTGACACGGGTATACAATACTCCATGCCCCCCCAAGAAACGGAAAAAATAATACACCACACCACCCCAACGTCGCCCCCGACCCAAAAAAAAACTCCTGGGGTCGGAAACCGGCCCGCCACTGGCGATGCAGATGCTCGTGCTTCCGAAACTATCCCCCTTCTGGGCCTGCTGCTGACCCTCCCCCCGCCTCGCCTCGCCCTCATCCGCCCCCCCCCGCCCCCCCCCACCCCACACTCGCCGGCCTCCAGAGATCCCCGCCAGGGGCCCGCCGAGATCTGCCAGACATCCCAGCCAGGGTCCGCGGAGGGCCGCCCCCCCTCCCCCCCCTCCCCTGGGCGGCGGCGGAGGCCCCAGACCGGCGGCGAGCCCGGGGGGGGAAGTGCGACGCTCACGCGGCACGGCTCACCAACACGAGGACGAGGAGCGAGGGCCCAGGCTTGAGGAGGGCATGGGGGCGGGAACGACAGGCAGGTGAAGGACGCGTGGGGGGCCCGAACCGTCCGCGAGGCAGCAGCAGAGGGAAGGCGGCAGGGGGCAGAGGACGACGGCGAAAGCGACGGGAGGAGACCGAAGAGTGCTGCTCGTCGGTAGTACGCTAACGATGCGACGCTGCGTGCGCCATGTCGCTGCGGCGCTCGAACAAATTAGCAAAACTGCTTTACAGTTGGTGCAGGAAGCGAGCGAGGCCCAGCTCGGCTGCCAGCTTCTCTGCTTTCTTCCTGACGACGCAGGAACTCGAAGCAACCCAGGTAGCAGACAACGGCATCAATCCGCTGGACCCCAAGGATGGCGAGGTCGCCTGGTGGTCCGCGTAAGACTTCACTCCGCTGGACCCCCCAGCAGCCCTCGAAAGTGGCGACTATTTCGCAGATCGCAGCCCCAAAGGGACGGCGAGGTCTAATCCGAATCTGGGTGGTGCTTCACTCCGCTGGACCCCCCAGCAGCCCTCGAAAGTGGCGACAAGTTCGCAGATCGCAGCCCCAAAGGGACGGCGACGTCTAATCCGAATCTGGGTGGTGCCTCACTCCGCTGGACCCCACAGCAGCCCTCGAAAGTGGCGACTATTTCGCAGATCGCAGCCCCCCAGGGATGGCGAGGTCTAATCCGAATCTGGGTGGTGCCTCACTCCGCTGGAACCCCCAGCAGCCCTCGAACGTGGCGAAAAGTTCGCAGATCGTAGCCCCCCAGAGATGGCGAGGTCTAATCTGAATCTGGGTGGTGCCTCACTCTGCTGGACCCCCCAGCAACATTCGAAAGTGGCGACCGTTTCTCAGATCGCAACCCCGCAGGGATGGCCAGGTAGGAGGCAAGCTGGCACGCAGGAAGGAGCGAGGGAAGAGGCAGGAAGGAAAGATGAGAGGAGGAGGGAGGCGGGAGAAGGAGGAATGACGGAGACCACAGTGCCCTATTCGAAACGAGTACCCAACGCAGGAGGTTTGGGGAAAAAATAGAAGGGTGGGGGGGGGGGAAAGGCTGGCAGGCTGTCCGACGGTGTCGGCCCCTGGAGGCCGTGAGACACGAGAAGCCGACCCTGGGGAAGGAGTCGATAACCCTGGGGGGCCTGCGTCACGGAAAAAAACCGCGGCGTCGGGAGAGAGGGTAGGGTGCGCGGGCGGGGCGCAGGCTGGGCACGACCCATCAGATCGCCCTCCTGGGGGAAGAGATGTTTCCTATGGGTCCGCTCCACGCCGTGCTCGCCCTGGCGAACGCTACCTGCCGCTTTCGGCCGCCATCCGTCGTCTGCCCCCGCCTCTCTGCTTGCGCTCTGGCCGGTCGTCCCGTCCTGTCCCGGCTCTGCTTTTTCTGTCCCTTTCTCTCTCTCTCTCTCTCTTTCTCTCTCTCTCTCTTGACGACGACGACGACGCCGACGACGGCAAAAGAGGAAGACAACGACGACGACGACGACGACGACGACGACGACGACGGCGACGACGACGACGGCGACGACGACGACGGCGACGACGACGACGGCGACGACGACGACGACGGCGGCGGCGGCGGCGGCGGCGACGACGACAACGCGACGAAGAAGACGACGACGACGACGACGACGACGAGGCCGACGACATGGCGGACGACGCAGAGCATCGTCCAGGATCGAGGTTCGGTGTTTTCGACGGGGAGGATGATCGAGGGTCGAGGATCGGGGCTCGGGAATCGATTTCGGCTTTTCGGGGGCCTTTTGCAGGCCTCGGGGCCGTCTAGAATCGATCGGGGGTGAAAAAGGTAACCAAAAAAGGGTCCGGTGACAGGCTTTGCGCGGATGCTGGTCGGATCGATTTGTCTTGACGCGTTCAATGCCTTCCTTGGGATTCCGGGCGCCCTCGTCGCGAAGGCTGGACCAGCCTCGAAAGTCTGGCCAAAACGAAGCCCCCGGCGGGGTCTGGGAGTCGCATTCTGAACGGAGGAGGAGCTTCTCCCTCTCTCTACCTCCTCCCGATGGACCTCCTCCTCCTCCTCCTCCTCCTCGAGCCTCGGCCGTCTGCCCAGAGGCTATTGGGGAAAGGTCTCCCTCCCTGCGCCTGTTCCCTTCCCCTTCCTGCACCTGCCCTCCCGCGGCCTGGTAGTCTTGAGCACGGAACTCCCTAGCCACATAGCCGTCCCAGTCGCCGTTGAAGTAATCGTTCAGCTCCTTAATGCTCATGTCCTGGACCCTCTTCTTCTCGCGGAACTGCTCGGGGTGTTTGGCTAACAGGTCCAGGTCTAGCAGCTTCTCGGGGCATGGCCTGTCACAGAAAGATCGGTTGTTGAGGTACAAGTGTTCCTGGACAGTGTGGAAGGTGGAAGCCTCCGTGAGGCCCTCGTACATCCAGGGGTAGTTCTTAATGCCCTCTGACATACCGTAGGTAACATCATTGTAGCACTGTGTGCCTGGTAGCGCATCATTGCACCCAGCCTGCTTCAGCTCATCGGCGTGTTTCATATCCCAGAGAGCGTTCCTTTTGTCCTCATCGGTCAGCGCGCAGGGCAATGGGCAATCGGCCTTGCCCATGCGGTGCAACTCCGCCTGGATCGTAGACATGCTGGAGTCGGCATGGAGCTCCGGAAACCAGTCAGGGTGCAATTCGAGGCCAACCTCCTTGAGAAAAGTTACTGAAGCGTAGCACACGTCGCCCTTGATCGTGTCCCGGCAGTCGAACTTGGGCTGATTTTTGAAGAGGGCGAGAGGGCTCGGGCCAAGACAAGGCTTGGGGCAATTCGCCTTGCCGAGGCCATAAAGCATGTCCTGCACCTCCTCGAAAGTGGACTCACTGCTGTAGCCCTGGTACCAATCGGGGTTCTTTGAGAAGCCTTCCTGGCGGAGCCAGGTCACAGACTTGTAGCAAGCGGTTCCCTCCTCCGCGCCCTTGCAGTCACTGTTGGCATCAGGCATGAGCTCATCTTCCAAGCTCTCGCGGTCCAGGAGGCTCACATCGCCCATCAGGACGCGTCTAGATGAACGATATGAACGAGTTTGGAGGAACGAGATGGCAAAGCCAGCTGATGGCAGAACTGCCACCAGTGCTGCCCGGCACGGCATGGCGGCGGCGTCCACTGAGAAGAATGTGAAAGACAAGAGTGCCGAGGAGTGGATGACCTCGCCGACTAGGCGACAGTCTTGTGTCAAAGCGGCGTCGAAGGGGAGAGGAAAGTGGAAGGACGAGGAGGAGGAGGACTGGACAAGGCTCGCCACGAAGGGGAAGCTAGGGGAGTGGAGGGGGGAGGATAGGATGATGAAGAGGTGGAGTACGACGAGGGCACAGAGGAAGGAGAGGAGAAAAGGAAGAGGCAGACCAGGAGAACCAGCGGGGAGGAACAAGAGAGCCTGGACAGAACTCGCCACTGGCGTCTCACTTTCGACACCAGGCGCGAATGGTCCCTACCTTGACTCTCGTCCGCATACCCTCGATGAAGGGCGATCCGCAACTCGTCCATCTCCTCTTCCTCCTCATCCCCCTCCTCCTCCTCCTCCTTCTCCTCCTCCTGTGAGCTGCAACGCTGGGATCAGGGTGTGCGAGAAGGCCGAACAGCAGGCGGCACCGACACGACTCTGCAAGGTGGGAGGCGAAGCTGGAGCCCGAACCCGCCAACCACGCCGTTGCAGACGCCACCAGCTGCAATGCTGGGGACGGGCTGTGCGAGAACGCCAAGGCGTCCGAGAAGGGCAGACAGTGGCTGCAGGAGTGGAGGAAGGGCAGTGGCAAAAGTTCTGTCACCAGCTGCGATCCCGCAGCGGCAAATTCGCCCGGACAGCCTCGTCAAGGCCGTCGGCATCAACCAGCCGCGTGAGCTCGTCTCCCGAGGAGGACGGGGAGAGGGCGCGGGGGCCCTCACACATCGCCCGGTGATCCATGACGTCTCCCGAGATGCTGCAGGTCACTGCGGCGTACCACGGGGGGGAGGGGTTGGGGGAGGAGGGGGGGGAGGAGGGAGGGGGAGGAGGGAGGGGAGGAGGGGAGGGGGGGGGGAGGAGGAGGAGGACGAAGGAGAGAGGGAGAGGGAGGGGGGGCGGGGAAGATGGGTGGGCATGCCAGGGCTGGTCTGGAGGCTGGGCGCCTCCCTCAGCCAGATCTGCTTCCAGTCGGGGGCCCTCTCAAGGCGGCCACTGCAGGCCACAGAAGAGGATGAGAGCGTGGAGGGGGAGGAGGAAGAGGCGGAGGAGAGCGAAGAGGAAGAAGTGGAGGGAAAGGAGGGGCAGGGGGAGGAGACGGGAGGAGGAGGAGGAGGAGGAGGAGGAGGAGGAGGAGGAGGAGGAAGAGGAGGAGGAGGAGGAGGCGAAGAAGAGCGAGGAGGAGGAAGAGGAGCGTGGACGGAGGAGAAATGGGAATTCTCGGCGCACGTGCCTGCAGTCAGCTTGTTTCTACTCCTCGGTATGGCGGAGAGGTTGGTCAGTTCCCTGCCTGTTTGATCATCAGTTCGTATCCGCAGCCTTTCGGTGACGACTGTGGATCTGGCACACACGACTCCGAGGCGAAGTGCTCTCCAGACGAACGGCGAGTGCCGCACGTCCTGTGCACTCTGTTGCACCAGTCCTGTGACGAGATGTCTGTCGAAGCGCACCAGGGCACGCGTGAAGGCACAGAGCTGGACTCACTGACGCCACTACCGAAACTGGCGTATCAAAAGCGGTGTCCTCTGGTCCTCATCGGTGGGTGCACGAGACAGTGGGCAATCGGCGATCGGACGTGCCCCTGCGCTGCGCAGCTGCGGTCGGAGGGCCAGGACACGAGTCAGGGCGGAGTCGGAGGCCCAACTCTCTGCAAAAAGGAGGCTGGAGAGCAGCGCAAGGCAGCCTCCATCTTGTCTTTGGATGCGAGGTTGGACCTGATGGCCTCGGACACTTGATGGATGAGCACCCAACCCAAGAGCGGTCTACGATCTCGACCCCTCGAACACCGCCGAACGTTCACCGCATGTTGCGACGACGTGCCCCGCTGCTGGCGAGCGTCCCTGGAGGGTCTGGGCGGCTGACTGGGCCTGATCCTGACCTGCTGGAGGAGAGCAGCAGGAGGAGAAAAAAGGGAGAATACCGAACGAGGAGGGAAAATAGCGGAGGAGGCGGACGAGGAAATGAGAAGGATGATGAACAGGGGGGAGGGGGGGAGGAGGAGGAGGCGGAGGAGGAGGAGTAGGAGCGGCGAGGAGCAGGAGGAGGAGGAGGAAAAAAAAGTCCTGGCGAAGGAAAGGACCCAACAATATGCAGTTGTGAGTCACGCATGTGTTGGTATCGTCTTCGGTGGAGCTCCTTATGGCGCACGAAACGTGTGAGGGGTGTGCCAACATGGGCGCGGTGGTGTCATGCGAGCGCCGCCACTGGGGCCTGCGGTGGAGCTTCCCATGGGGCCGCGAAACGTGTGAGGGGTGTGCCGCAATGGGCGCGGGGGACGCATGCGAGCGAAGCCACTGGGGCCAGCTCCGTATGGGGCCACAAGACGTGTGAAGGGCGTGCCGACATGGGCGCGGTGGTGTCATGCGAGCGCAGCCACTGGGGCCTGCGGCGGCAGTCCATATGGGGCCACGAAACGTGTGAGCCGCGTGCCCAAATTAGTGCGGTGGCGCCATGCGATCGCAGCCACTGGGGCCTTCGGTGGAGCTCCCTGTAGGGCCACTAAACGTGTGGGGGGTTGCCGACATGGGCGCGGTGGTGTCATGCGAGCGCAGCCACTGGGGCCTGCGGTGGAGCTCATCCTGGGCCCACGAAACGTGTAAGGGATGTGCCGAAATTGGCGCTGCCATGCGAGCGCAGCAAGTGGGGCCTGCGGTGGCGCTCCATATAGGGCCACGAAACGTGTGAGGCGTGTGCCGAAATGTGTGTGGGGGACGCATGCGGGCAGTGGCACTGGGGCCTTCGGTGGAGCTCCCTATGGGGCCACGAAACGTGTGAAGGGTGTGCCGAAATGGGCGCGGGGGACCCATTCGGGCGGTGGCACTGGGTCCTTCGGTGTAGCTCCCTCTGGGGCCACGAAACGTGTGAGAAACGTGCCAAATTGGATGTGGGGGACGCATGCGGCCGGTGGCGCTGGGGCCTTCGGTGGAGCTCCGCACAGGGCCACGAAACGTGTGAGGGGTGTGCCAAATTGTGTGTGTGGGGGACGCATGCGGGCGGTGGCACTGGGGCCTTCGGTGGAGCTCCCCATGGGGCCACGAAACGTGTGAAGGGTGTGCCAAATTGGGTTTGGGAACGGTGGAGCTCCCTATGGGGCCACGAAACGTGTGAGGGATGTGCCAAATTGGTTGTGGGGGACGCATGCGGGCGGTGGCACTGGGGCCTTCGGTGGAGTTCCGTATGGGGCCACGAAACGTTTGAGGGGTGTACCAAATTGGGTTTGGGGACGCATGCGGGCGGTGGCACTGGGGCCTTCGGTGGAGTTCCGTATGGGGCCACGAAACGTGTGAGGGGTGTGCCAAATTGGGTTTGGGGGCGCATGCGGGCGGTGGCAACCGGGCCTTCGGTTAAACTTCCTGTGGGGCCACGAAGCGCTGTAATGTGTGCGTGAAACGCAGGGAGGAGGAGGAAGGAGGAGGGGGACGAGGGAGGAGGGGGAGGAGGAAGGAGAACGCGGGGACCGTCTCTTCAAAACGAGGACACAACACCACAGGATGGTTGGGAATACGAATGCTAACGCTTATAAGTACAATTATAAGCAATGCTACGATTCATAATGTCAATAATAATCACAAGAACCATCATGATACGAATACGAATACTGCTGATAATAACGATGGCGAACACAACAACAACAAGGCAAAACAACCGGCTGGTGGACCCGGTGAAGGTCCACCAGCTCGCTGTTTCGCTCCTTGAGGCGAAACATCTCACTGGTGGAGCCAGACCCCCCCCGGCAACGCAACGCAACGCAACGCAACATATGGTTGGCAACAGAAACCAAAGGAAGCCGTTGGAAAATCCTCTGGGATCCTTCGGAATCCTTGAGAAAGCCGACGCGTTCCCACGAGCTGAAACTATGTGCGCTCCCCCTAGCCGAAACCTTCGGGCATGCTATAGAATCCTTAGGGTTGCCATAGAATGCCGAAGGGAAGGCTGCAGAACCCCTACAGGATGCTATAGAATCCCTAAGGGGTGCTATAGAATCCTTAGGTGATGCTATAGAATCCCTAAGGGCTGCTACAGAATCCCCAAGGGATGCTGAATCCCTAAGGGATGCTATGGAATCCCTGAGGGATGCTACGGAAACCCCAAGGGATGCTACAGAATCCCTAAGGGGAGGCTGCAGAACCCCTAAGGGGCGGCTGCAGAGTCCCTCAGGGGAGGCTGCAGAACCCCTGAAGGATGCTACAGAATCCCTAAGGTATGCTATAGAATCCCTAAGGGATGCTATAGAATCCCTAGGGGCTGCCATAGAATCCCTGAGGGAATCCCAAAGGGCTGCCATAGAATCCCTTAGGGCTGCCATAGAATCCCTTAGGGCTGCCACAGAATCCCTTAGGGATGCTATAGACCACATAAGGGATGCTATAGAATCCCTAAGGGATGCTATAGAATCCCCAAGGGCTGCTATAGAATCCATAGGGGCTGCGATTGAATCCCGAAGGGGTGCTATAGAATCCCTAAGGGATGCTATGGGATCCCTAAGGGATGCTACAGAATCCCTAACGGGAGGCTGCAGAACCCCTAAGGGATGCTACAGAATCCCTAAGGGGTGCTATAGAATCACTAAGGGAAGGCTGCAGAACACCTAAGGGATGCGATTGAATCCATAAGGGGATGCTATAGAATCCCTTCGGGATGCTGTAGAATCCCTACTGCTATAGAATCCTTAAGGGATACTATAGAATCCCTTAGGGCTGCTATAGAATCCCTAAGGGATGCTATAGAATCCCTAAAAGGATGCCGTAGAATCCCTGAGGGATGCTATAGATTCCTTGAAGGGATGCTATCGGATCCCTAAGGGGATGCTATAGAATCCTTAAGGGGATGCTATAGAATCCTTCAAGGGATGCTATAGAATCCTTAAGAGATGCTATAGAATCCTTGAGGGATACTATAGAGTCCCTGAGGGATGCTATTGAATCCATAGGGGCTGCTATTGAATCCCGAAGGGGTGCTATAGAATCCCTAAGGGATGCTATAGAATCCCTAAGAGATGCGATAGAATCCCCATGGGTCCCGGCGTGTTGCCCGGCGTCCCTCAGTGGCCTGCCCCAGAGGGGGGAAGCGCATGCCCAAATGGCTTGAACCACAAATGAAGAGAGGGAGAGGAGCGTGCCCACGTCAGCCGCAAGGCCACCAGAGCCACGGGAGTCAAATCCGCCGCCGTGCCTCCTGCACGGCAGAGGCGTGTTAGAAGCTGGGCCGGCACGGGAACGAAAAGAGCTCCCTGTGGGGCCAGGGCCACGATCCTCGAGAGACGTGTGCCGAAATGATGTTTCGGTGGGGCTCTGTGTGGGGCCATGGCCACGATCCTCGAAAGGGGTGTGCCGAAATGAACTTTCGGTGGGCCTCCCTGTGGGGTCTGTGCCGCGATCCTCGAGAGGAGTGTGCCGAAATGATGCTTCGGCGGAGCTCCCTGTGGGTCCAGGGCCACGGTCCTCGAGAGGGGTGTACCGAAATGAAGATTCGGTGGAGCTCCCTGCGGGACCAGGGCGACGATCCTCGAGAGGGGTGTGCCGAAATGAAGCTTCGGTGGGCCTCCCTGTGGGGTCTGTGCCGCGATCCTCGAGAGGGGTGTGCCGAAATGAGGCGTGGGTGGAGCTCCATGTGGGGCCAGGGCCACGATCATCCTTGAGGGGTGTGCCGAAATGAAGCTTTGGAGAAACCCTCTGTGAGGCCAGGGCCACGATCCTCGAGAAGGGTGTGCCGAAATGAAGTTTCGGAGGAGCTGCCTCTGAGGCCAGGGCCACGATCCTCGAGAGGGGTGTGCCGAAATGAAGCTTCGGAGGAACTCCCTGTGAGGCCAGACGCCCTATGGGATTCCCATAAGATTCCTAAACATGACTCCCATTGGATTCGTAATAGGCTTCCCGCAGGATTCCTATAGGATTCGTAGAAAGCCCTATAATTCCGATAGGACTCCGATAGGATTCCTATCATATTCGAAGAAGCCTTATAGGCTTCCCGCAGGATTCCTATAGGAGTCCTATAGGATTCGTAGAGGCCCTCTAGGATTCCTATAAGATTCCTATAGGATTCCTGGAGGATTCGTGGAGGCCCTATAGGATACTTATAGAAATCATATAGGACTCCTATAGGATTCGTAAAGGCACTATAGGATGCCTATGGGAGTCCGATAGGACATGTACAGGCCCTGTGGGATTCCTATCAGATTCCTATAGGAGTCCTATAGGGTTCGTAAAGGCCCGATGGGAATCCTATGAGACTCCTATAGGAACCCTATAAGATTCGTAAAGGCCATATACGATGCCTATAAGTTTGCTATCGGATGTATACCGGATTCGTAGAGGCTCTATAAGATTATTATGGGATTCCTATAAGATTCCTATAAGGTTCGTAGAGGGGGTTCCCATCGGAATCCTACAGGATCCTTATAAGATTCGTAGAGGCCCTATAGGACTCCTCCGGGATTCCCATAGGATTCCTACAGGCTTCGTGGAGGCCCTATAGGATTCCCACAGGATTCCTATAAGAACCATATATGATTCGCCGAAGCCCTACAGGATTCCCAAAAAGGATTCCTATGGGATTCCCATAGGAATCCTAAAAGCCCGATAGGATTCCCATGGGATTCCTATGGGATTCCCATAGGAATCCTAAAGGCCCGACAGGTTTCCTACAGGCTTCCTATAGGATTCCTATCGGGTTCGTAAAGGCCCTATAGGATTCCCGTCGGTTTCCTATGGGACCCCCATAGGATTCGCAATATTAGATTCTCGTGGGATGTCCATAGGATTCGCAAAACGGCTTTATCGGATTCCTGTCGGATTCCTATAGGATCCCTAGAAGGTCCGCAGAAACCCTATAGGATTCCCCTGGGAATCCTATAGGATTCGGGGTAACGTGCGTTGCGTTGCGTTGCGTTGCGTTGCGCCGAGGGGGGGGGGGGCTGGGGCGGGCGCCAGTGAGTGGTTTCGTCAACAACAACAACAAATAGACCCATAGTAATGATACCAACAACAACAACATCTACCACAACAACAACGTCAACAACAATAGCACCAAGGATACGAAGAAGAAACAAATAATAACAATAATAATAATAATACGAATTAGAAGAACAAGAAGAACAAGGAGGAGGAGGAGAAGAAGGAGGAAGACGAGCGCCCAACCCAAGAGCGGTCACGATCTCAGCCGATGACCCATAGCAGCACGCCTGCGCCTGCAGCTGGCGAGTGCAGGCGGCGGGGACCACAGGCACGCACCCCTTTTGCGCGGTTGCTGGCCGAGGGAAACAAATTGGGCTCGACAGGAAGACGAGGAGGAGGAGGAGGAGGAGGAGAAGGAGTAGGAGGAGCGCCCGCTCCACTGAACGATAAGGAGGAGGAGGAGGAGGAGGAGAAAGAGGAGGAGGAAGAGGAGGGGGGAAAAAGACAAGCTAGGTGCGTTCGCGTCATATGTGACGTCCTACCCCTCCCTCATATCCCTTACCATGGCGTAGATCTCCTCTCCTTCGCACAATCAAATGTCGAGCAGGGCAATGATCCCGGGAGGGTACGCGATGCATCGTAAAGCACGACATAGCACGGCGTAGAAGAGCACTGCAAAGCGTAGCGTGTCATAGCATGGTGTGGCATTGCGTGGTGAAGCATTGCATCACAAAGCATTGCAACGCTATGGCATCGCACAGCGGCACAAATCACAATGCTTCGCTACATGTCATGGCATGGCACCGGGTTCCTTGGAGGGTAAGTTGATAGTCTTCGAGAGGTCTGGGCCGGTCTGAAGTCGCGGCTCCATGTTCAGCTCCCTGGGCTCCCCGGACAGCTCCCCACTAGGCGTGGCTGATGGAGAGAATCCGCTGACTCTGCTTTCAACATCGTCTTCTCAAAGCAGAAACGGGCTTCCGCCTGATACTTCCTCAGAACGACGACGCCCCAAAAGATCCCAAAAATCAACGAACGACTCGACATTGGATGTGGAATCAATTCCGATGTTTTTTTCGGGTGATATTTTTTTACATTTGGGCCTATTTGAAAGGACGGGACACGCCCGCGCTGCAGCGGTAACACGATTTGGAATGACCGAAATTCGGAACGAGCGAAAGGCCAGAAATGAGGCCTGCAGCGGGAGCACGATTCGGAACGAGCGGAAGTGCGAAAATGAAGCCAATGCTGCAGCGGGAGCTCGATTCGGAACGAGCGGAAACCCCAAAATGAGGCCAGCGCTTCAGCAGGAGCAACATTCTGGAAAAAATCAAGCGAAAACCCAACTCCCGGGAATCCTGTCTCAAAAAGCAATACGCAAATTGGGCCAGACGTCTTCTGGACGTCATCAAGGGAGAGAGGAAAGTAGTATTCATATTGTGCAACTGTGGAAGAGGAGGGGGAGGAGGAGGAGGAGGAGGAGGAGGAGGAGGAGGAGGAGCAGAACCACGACGACGACGACGACGACGACGATGAGGAGAGGAGCCCAGTGCCAGCGGCCGACTACGCCTTCCTGCTGGTCTCGGCCACGTTCCAGGGTAAGCCGTGCTAGAGGCCCTGGCCGGCGCAACTCCTCCCCCTCAGGCGGCCGCTGCGCTAGATGACCGGGCACTCTGGCCAGGCACTGGGCAACGGCTGCTCCTGGCGGGCCGGTGCCGCGCACTGGGGGGTTGCGCAGGCAACAATTCGCAGCGTTTCCAGACCGCGGTCCGCCAAAAGAGGAGGAGGAGGAGGAGGAAGAGGAGGAGGAAGAGCAAGACGAGCAGAAAGACGAGGAGGAGAAAAAAGAGGAGGACGAGGAGGCGGAGGAGGAAAAAGAGAAAAGGAGAGGAGGAGGCGGAGGAGGAGAAGGACGAGGCTAAAGAGGAGGAGGGGGAGAAAGACGAGGACAAAGAGACGGAGGAGGAAAAAATGGAGGAGGAAAAAGAGGAACGGAGAAAGAGGAGGAGGAGGAGGAGAAGGAGGAGGAGGACGAGGGAGCAGGAGGGGAGAGAAGGAGGAAAAGGAGGACGGAGGGGAGGGGGATGGGAAGGGAGGGGCGGGAGGAGGGAATGGGGAGAAGAGGCGTCGAGGCCTCCTCTCGCCCCACGGCCACCGCCGCGGCCCCGCTCCTCGCCGCCCAAGGCGCGCTGGCTGCGACCTCCTCCCAGCTCAGGCCTGCGGGATGGCGAGGGGAATTCCTTTGTATGTTCGATATTCGATGTTCCTCCTCGATCCTCCTCCTCCTCCTCCTCCTCCTCCTCCTCCTCCTCCTCCTCCTCCCCTCCTCATCATCCTCCTCTTTTTCCCACCCCTCCTCCTCCTCCTCATCATCATCACCATCATCATCAGCATCATCATCAACATCATCATCAGCACCATCGTCATCACCATCCTCATCCTCATCCGCATCCTCATCCCCATCCTCATCCTTATCCTCCTCCTCCAATCCCTCGATCCTGTTCCTCCATTTCTTTCCTTGTGAATCAGTCCCCCCTGTCGCACCCAGAGGCCGGTCGGAAGGGCGGGCCTACCGCTTCGCCTGAAAATTCGATTACACTTATGAACCTCAAGCTGAAAAGCTGGCAAAAGATTCACGGGTGGAAGGCGGGTGATTTTCAAATTGTGGCTATCGCCTTGGCGCCACGCGCATTCGTTTCAAAATTGCGCAAGAGCTTCACGGACTGAGGACAAGTCACTTTCCAAATGTGGCTCTAGCCTAGCGCCGCACACGTTCGTCTCAAACATGTGCAAGAGCTTCAAGGATTGAGGGCGGGTGGTCTTCAACATGTGGCTCTCGCCTCACCGCCGCGGATACTCGTTGTACAAAGTGCAATTTTCGGAGTGAGGGCGGCTCCTTTTCAAAATGTTGTTGTCGCCGTAGCGCCGCGCACACTCGTGTCAATCGTTTGCCAAAAATTCGCGGGTTCCCATGGTCACCGTACACGGAATCGAGGTATGGAAAGATTCCGGACGGTCAAGGCGCAACAGTTGCGTTGATTCGCGGTGTTGAAGTCCCACGGATGGCGTTCTGGCGCGATTCAGGACCGTCAAGACGACACAATGAGGTTAATTTGTGGCGGTGGGGCACCGATAACGGTTTGGCACGCTTCAGGATCTTCAAACGGTTGTCCCCCAACGGGGCACTTCCCTCCGTGGAAATGAATCCTTGTAGGGGCCAATGAAGACAGAGCTCGGGGAAAGGGTTTATTCAAACATCGTTGGCGGGTCTCGGGTTTACACTGATCCCCCCTCCTCCTTGTACTGCTTCTCCTACTCAGCCCCTCAGCATTGTCCTCAGCAACATCAGCATCATCATTATCATCGCCATTACCAACGGACTCGTCATCATCATTATCAACAGCAAGAGAGTCATCATCATCATCCTCAACACCACCAATATCATCACCATCATTATCCCCGACAGCCTCAGCACCACCATGATCATCATCAGCACAAGCATCACCAGCCGCACCAGCATCAGCATCAGCATCAGCGTCAGCACTCACCAGTAGCATCATCATCAAAACCAGCAGCATCATCGTCGTCGTCACAAACATCAGCATTAATATCAGAATCGTCGTCGGCACCACCACCATCGTCAGCAACACCATCATCGTCACCACTATCATCAGATCACCAGCACCGCCATCATCATCATCATCATCATCATCATCATCATCATCATCATCATGCTTATCAACTACATCATCGCAATCATCATCATCATCATCATCATCATCATCATCATCATCATCATCCTCATCCTTAGCATCATCACCCTCACAATCAGCATCACCGCCGACAGCAACAACAGCATCGACCTAATAGCCATCATAATCATCGCCATCACCATCAGCATCATAGTCGCCACAGTCATAATCATAGTCATCAGTATAATCATCATCCCCACCATCATCAACAGTATAATCATGACCAACGCTTTTATCCGCATCGCCATCCGCACAACAGTCCTCATCAGCACCTGTAATTCTAGCGGCGGCGTCATCATCCACTTCATAACCATCAACATCAACAGCATCATCAGCAGCATCACCACCATAATCACCCATATCATCATCATCACCAGCATCACCATCATCGCCATAATCATCATCATCATCATCATCATCATCATCATCATCATCAGCCGCATTCTCACCGGCATCGTCACCCTCCTGTATTATCGATCTTCCTCCTCGGCATTCCTCCTCGATCCTCCTCATCGATCCCCCGCTTCGATTTCATCCCTCTGCCTCTTCCTCCTCTTCCTCCTCCCCCCACCCCCCCTTCGATCCTCGACCCTCCTCTTCAGCATCCTCCTCCACCGCCTCAATCCTCCTCCCCCTCCTCCTCCCCCCCCTCCTCCTTCTCCCCTTCAAGCCCGCTCCTCCAGCGCCCCCTCCAAATCCTTCTGCTCATCATCCTCCTCCTCGTCCTCCTTCGCCTCATCATCATCACCCTCCCCCCCCCTCCCTCAAGCCCCTTCAAGCTGCGGAACGTCTGCCTCCAGATGTACCACGGCGCACAAGCATAACAAAGAAAACAAAATCCGCCTCCTCCCTATTATGGTTCTGGCTCTGGTTCTGAAAAACCCCGAATGGGGAATTCGGCCTGCGCTGGGCAAAGCAGGACCTGGCATGTTCCCCCCGAGCGGCAGCGAGTGCTGTGCGCAGCCAGGCGCCAAGTGGCCCGGCTGCGCTTGCGTCGGGGCGGCGGTCGGCGGCTGGGCAAGCGCCCTCTGCTCGGCCCAGTCTCCTGTGGGCACGCCCTCGAGAATGCACGAGCAGTTTTTTGCCCGCAGGGGCCGGCAGACCGCGCTGTCGGTCGCCACAGCCTTTTGGGGGGCCACGTAAAGTCGCGCCCCTACCTGTTCCTCCACCGAACGCCTCACGCCCCCGCGCGGTAGGGGAGGGGGGAGGAGGGAGGGGAGGGGAAAGGAAGAAGAAAGGACGAGGGAAAGGAAGGAGTAAGGGAGGGAGGGAGGAAAGCAAGGACGGAGGGAGAGAGGGCGGGGAGGGTTGGAAGAGATAGGAAACAGGGGACGGCAGAGGGGAAACGATGAGCAGGCAGGGGGCACCAGGAGCACGGATGAGGAACGATGGAATCTCACGGCGCTGCAATTGCGCCGAACAGAACAAGTAAGAAGATTGCACGTATACGGTAAGGAAGGGCACAGCGAAATCAGCCCCAGCGCCGGGCTCCTCCTCCTCCTCCTCCTCCTCCTCCTCCTCCTCCTCCTCCTCCTCCTCCTCCTCTCCTCCTCCTCCTCCTCCTCCTCCTATAACTATCCTTGAACTACTAAACTACTACTACACTACTACTACTACTACTACTACTACTACTACTACTTAACTACTATTACTACTACTACTACTACTAATACTACTACTACTTACAGCTAACCACTACTACTACTAACTACTAACTACATACTGACGACGACGAACGACGACGACGACGACGAACGACGACGACGTACCTACTACTACGACTACTACTACTACTACAACTACTACACTACTAACTACTACTACTACTACGACTACTACTACTACTGACTACTATCTCCTACTCGTTCCTGCTCCTCCTCACCTCCTTCTCCTCATCCCCCTCCTTCTCCTCCTACCTCCTCCTCCTCATCATCATCATCATCATCATCATCATCATCATCATCATCAATCATCACCACCACCACCACTACCACCACCACCGCCACCACCATCATCATCAATCATCATCATCATCATCATCATCATCATCATCATCATCATCATCATCATCATCATAATCATCATCATCGTCAGCATCATCATCAGCAGCAGCATCATCATCACCATCATCATCATCATCACCATAGTCACCATAGTCATCATCACCATAATCAGCATCAGCATCATGATCATCATCAACATCATCATCATCATCAGCAGCAGCAGCAGAAGCATAATCATCACCATCATCATCAGCATCATCATCATCATCGCCGTCGTCTTCATCATCATAGTCATCATCGTCATCATCATCGTCATCATCAGCATCCGCATCATCATCACCATCGCCATCATCATCGTCATAATCATCAGCATCATCATCAATACCATCATCGTCAGCAGCAACATCATCATCACGTCGTCAACGTCATCATCGTCGTCATCATCGTCATCATCATGATGATCGCCGTCATCGTCGTCATCATCATCAGCAGCAGCACCGTCATAATCATCATCAGCAGCAGCATCAGCATCACCACCGACATGTAGCATCATCATACCTCGTCGACATTCATCATCATGGTCATCATCATCGTCGTCATCAGCATCATCGTCGTCAGCAGCAGCGTCATCAGCATTATCATCATCCGCATCATCAGCTCCGTCATCAGACGCATCAGCACAATCATAATTATCAACAGCATCTTCGTTATCATCATCACCATCAGGAACAACATGATCGCAATCATCAGAGTCATCATCACCATCATCAGCATCGTCATCGTCGTCGAAACCATAAGCATCATCAACACCATAAACATCATCAGCATTATCGTCATCAGCTGAAGCGGCATCCTCAGCATCATGTTCATCCTCATCATCACCATCATCATCAACATCATCATCATCATCGCCATCGTCATCGTCATCGTCATCCTCGATCTTCCCACTCCTCCTCGATCATCCTCCTGATGATCCTCCTCCTGCGGCTCCTCCTCCTTGGTCCTCGATCATCGATCTTCTTCCTCGATCCTCCTCCTCGACCGTCGTCCTCCTCCTCATCCTTCTCCTCCTCCTTCTTCTCCTCCTCTTCCGTCTCCTCCTTGGTCCTCGATCATCGAATTTCGTCCTTGATCCTCCTCCTCGATCCTCTTCCTCCTCCTCCCCCTCCTCCTCCTCATTCGCCTCCTCCTCCTCCTTCATCATCCACCTCCTGACCACGACCGAGCCTGACGTTTAAAAACTGACAACAAATCCACAAAGCAAGGGCGGGTGGTTTTCAAAATGTGGCTCTCGCCTCAGCGCCGCGCACACTCGTCTTAAAAAGATTGCAAGAGCTTCACGGATTGAGGGCGGGTGATTTTCAAAATGTGGTTATCGCCGTAGCGCTGCGCCCAGTCGTCTTAAACAATTGTAAGAGCTTCACAGATTGAGGGCGGTCCTTATCCAGAATGTGGCTCTCGCCTTCGCGCCGCACACTATCGTATTAAAAATTACAAGAGGTTCGCGGATTGAAGGCGGTTCCTTTTCAAAATGTGGTTCTCGCCTTAGCGTCGCGCACTCTCATTGTAAAAATTGTCCTTGGTTCTCATGGCTTACGTACCAGAAACTGTGTCATGGAACGATTCAGGGCCAGAAACTGTGTTATGGAACGATTCAGGGCTGTCATTCGCAACAGTTACCTTGATTCGCGGCGTTGAAGTCCCATGAATGGCATGTTGGCACGATTCTGGATCGTCAAAACGAAACAGTCAGGTTGACTCGTGGAGTTGACATCATGAAAACGATGCTTTGAAACCCCAACGGGGCCACTCCATCAGTGGAAATAAACCCTTGCATGGGGCCTTTGCAAGGGGGAGCTTGGAGGGAGGGTGTATTCCAACATCGTTGGTAAGCCTTCCGTTAACACTGGTCCTCCTCCTCCTCCTCCTCCTACTACTCCACCTCTTCCTCCTCCTCCTCCTCCTCCTCCTCCTCCTCCTCCTCCTCCTCCTCCTCCTGCTCCTCCTGGGCACTGTTGGCGCATCAGTGCTCCGCCTTCACAGATTGGGAAAGTATGCACCGAGGGCAGCTCAGCACTCTTGCCCTCCGGGTGCGTCTCCGTCCCGCGGCGCCCGACCTCGCCCTCCGCGCGCGTCCCCGCCAGCTGCCGGCCGCGCCGCGCGGCTGCGCTGCCCAGCAAGCCAGCCGAGCGCCTGGAGCGTGCTCGCGCTCGGGGCGAGCAGGGCTGTCTGCGCGACGGACTGGACGACCGTGGCTTCGATGTCCGCCCGCAGGGCCCGGAGGCTCAGGGAAGTGACCTGGCCCGTCCCGGACCGCAGCCGCCCGTACTCGCAGCTCTCCCTGTGCAAGGCGGCGAGCGTCTGGCGGGCGACAGTGCCTAGCCGCCCAAGCTGCTCAACCGCGAAGGGTAAAACGGCAGGGCCATAGCGCGACACCTTGTCTCGCTACCCCGCAATGGCCGCCAAGACCGGATCGCTGCTGGTGTCGCCGAGCCCCTTTGCGAACGGGGAGCGGATGGTGACGTCGATGAGGAACTGCCGCGCCGACGCTGGCCACCACGCCAGGAAATCCATGATGCTCTCATGCACGGCGCGGTCCTGGATGGTGTAGAGCTCCGGCACGTGCCGCTCGATGTCGACGAACGCCCCGGTCCGCTCCAAGTGGCGCCAGAGACACCGCAGGCGCTGCTTCCGGCCTGCCGCGCACACGCTAGGATGATGCAGGTTGTCGTCCAGCGGCACGCCGCAGGATTCATCATCACAAGCGTTGCGAAGCGATCACGCCAAGCCTCTCTCCGGCGGCAGTGCACGTCGCGCGGGAGCAGTGCTCCAGAAGCTGCCGGCTCCTTCGCCGCCTCCAGAGAGCATGCAGGTTTGGCGGTGCTCGGAGGAAGCGGCATGCACATCTGTGGCGCGCAGCGCCTCTAGGCCACGCATGGCCCTGCCGTACACCCGCGGCCGGCTGGCACAGGCAGAGGACTGCGGCTGCTGGGCGCCGGCCGCCACACCTCCCCGAGGTCGTTCGCCTTGGTCGCCCTGCTCCACGCCGTCCGCAGCAGGGTGCGGGAATGCGAACACTGCCGCGGAAGGCGTGTCCTCAGACAACGGCCCTGCGTCGTAACGCCTCCGCGCGGCGACAGTGAAGGCCTCCTGGGAGACGTCGACGCCCGCTGACAGCAGCGCAGATGTCGCCTCCTCATCGGCTGCTGCGTCAGCCGCACATGGACGGCATGGCCTCCCCAGCTCCTGGGCCAGGCGTTGGACCGCGGCGCAGTGCAACGACTCCGCCGCGCGGAATGCAGCAGCCGCGCGTGGGCGCGTCGGCAACGCCAAAGATAGACCTCCGAAGGCCCAGGCAAAGACGCTTCCTCCTCCTCCTCCTCCTCCTCCTCCTCCTCCTCCTCCTCCTCCTCCTCCTCCTCCTCCTTCTCCTTCCTCCTCCTCCTCCTCCTCCTTGTCCTTCCTCCTCGATCCTCGATCCTTCCTCCTCGATCCTCGACCCTCCTCCTCCCTGTCCTCCCAGTTCGGGCCGCCGTCCCAGCTGCGCCACACGTCGCCGAGGGGGCCGTCCTCGCCCTTGCCGCCCGCCATCACCTCGGAGCCGGCCCGATCGGATGGTCGTCGTCGCCGCCGCCGTCCTCTGCGTGCGTCTGCTCGCGCGCGGCTCTCCTGCGGGTGGGAGAGCGGCAGCGGCACACGCTCAAACCTGTCGGGAGGAAGACTGGGGAAGGGCAAGGACATGAATGCGCTGTAGGTAGGGGTGCGAGTTGTCGGACCCCGAGGGGGGACCCCGTTCGAGCGGGCAAGCCTAACCAACAACACACACACACACACGCACACACTGGAATTCCACCCCGAAAAATCTGGAGGTCGCAGAGGTATGGATGCTGGCTGTCAGCTCATAACTTGCGCGCGCGGGATGGCGCGCCTGGTGGACAGGCGGAATGCGGAATGCGGATCGGCCTGAGGGAGGATCAGGATCGAGGATCGAGGATCGTGTAGGAAGGATCGAGGATCGAAGAGGAAGGATCGAAGATCGAAGAAGGATCGAGACGCAGGGGGGTTGGGGGGGAGAAATGAGGGGAGGAGGAATGAGGAATGCGGATCGGCCTGGGCCTGCAAGCTCAAATCCAGGAGAAGAAGACAGACGGCAGAGTGGGTCCCACGAGCGCGCGAGTGACTGGGCGGGGCCGACAGAACGACCGCAACGCGAAACGCGAAAAGCGAAACACCAAGGACCAGAAGGGCCGAGAGAACATAACGAACGGGCCAAGAACATACGAGTGGCCCTGACCTTCAGCACGGTCTTCCCGAGCGAATGGGTATGCAGAAACCGGCTGATCCTCAGCTGCGGGGGTCCGATCCCGAAAAAGAGAACCAGCAGCAGGACAGACTGCGCGAACCCGCAGTTGATCACGAGCATGTGGGTGAGCACACACGGGTAGACCTGCATCTGCACGGACAAGCTACGGAACACGAGCATAGTGCCCAGTAGTGGAGCACCAGCACAATCCTAGGCCGCAAAAGGAATACTCAGCTGCCACCGCCCCTGAGAAAAAGCCAATGCGAAGTGACCTTTTGGCTTAGCCAAGCAGACGGCCATGATAATGACTGCCGGATGTTCCCGCGCTGTGATCTCCGACGAAATCGTGCTTATGTGTAGTTGCTGCTGTCTCCCGAGCTGAGCGGCCTCCGCCACGCGGCACACTCGCCAACGGGAGGAGCACGGAAGATGAAGATGAGGGGATGAGAGAGGGAGGGAGGGAGGGAGGGGGAGGGAGGGAGGGAGGGAGGGAGGGAGGGAGGGAGGGAGGGAGGGAGGATGAGTAGAGGTAGGAGGAGGAGGAGGAGGGGGAGGGGAGGAGAGGATGGGAGGATGAGAGGAGGAGGAGGAGGAGTAGGAGGAGGAGGAGGGAGGAGGAGACAAGGAGGAGGGAGGAGGAGGAGGAGGAGGAGGAGGGAGGAGGAGGAGCAGGACGACCAGGACGAGGAGGAGGCGGCGGTGGCCCCCGGCAGGCGTGAGGTGGATCGGATCACGAGATTGGGCCGCATCGGAAACGGATCGGATCGCCAGCGAACCGTCCCGAGTCGGAGCGAGATCGGATCGCCGCGCCCGGCTCTGGCTGGCAGCGGCCGACGCCGGTGGGCCAGACCGAATCGAACCGAATTGGAATCGCGGCCCCAGCAGGCGAGCCGAGCCGCCTCGAGTCGGATCGTGGGCGGCCCTGGCGCCGCGGCGCGGTCGGCGTCGGCCCGTCGCCGGGCCGAAAGTGCGAGGCGGGCGCGAAGGACGCCCCCTCTACAGGGCACCATGGCGCCGAGGCGGGCACGAGAGGGGAGGGAGGGGAGGCGGATGAGGACCGAGGAAATGGAGGTCAGGTCAGGTCAGGCCGTCCACGACGGCTCCTCGATGAGAAGACCACCCACAGGGGGGAAGAATAGATACTTCCGGCCCACAGGAGAGGAAGGAGGAGGAAACGAGCCGCTGAGGAGACGCGTCCAAATTGCCCGAACGCGCCCTGCTGGTGACTAAACTTGGGGCCCCCTGACTGGGATCAGCCAGGACCCAGGACCCTCACCCGCTCATCGAGGCGGCTCGCCGCACCTCGACTTCTTGAGGCGGGCCTTCTGTTCACAGAGGGTCTTGGGGACATCCGAAGGGCCTTTTGCAAGGAGCGTTGAACGCCAACACACGCCCAGACGACACAACCAAACAAAGGAGGCGGAGGAAGAAGAGGAGGAGGAGGACCAGTGCAAACCCAAGGCTCATCAACGATGTTGGAATACACACTCCCTCAAACCTCCCTCTTCGTAGGTCCCTACAAGATTCCCCATCGGGGGGCGGCCGTGTGAAAATTCAGAAGCGCTCCAAAGCACCATTTGCATGATTTCAACGCCACGAGTCAACCTCACTGTTGCGTCCCGAAAATCCTGAATCGTGCCCTAACACCATTCCTGGGACTTCAGCACCGCGAATCAACGTAACTGTTGCGCCCAATCGTTCCAGAACATCATCTCTGGCACGTTACTATGAGAACGAATGAAACATGATAATATGTTAAAACACATGTGTGCGGCACTAGAACGAGAACCACATCTTGGAAAGGAACCACCCTCAACCCGTGAAACTCTTCTAAATATTGAAAACGAATGTGCACAACGCTAAGGCGAGAGACCCCTTTTGAAAACACACCGCCGTCAATCCGTGAAACTCTTGCAAACTCTTCAAAAGAATGCGCGCGGCGCGAAAGCGATAGCCACATCTTCAACAAAAAAAATTATGCTAACGGAGTTCCCCACATGGGCGTTTTAATAGGGCGCGGGCTTAGTCAGGAGGAAGAGGAAGAGGCGGAGGCGGAGCAAGAGGGGTGGGAGGGGCACGAAACCTGATAAATAATATGGTTTGCGAATACTGTCCTCGCTCTGGCGGGGCCTCCC